GGAGGCTCGCCGATCTAAGGCGTTTGACGAGCAGAGAAGATGGTGCCTTGGAGATGATGGGAGGTTCACCGATCTAAGAGTTGAACGGAGTTCCTTGGCGAGGTGGTGGCGAGGTCGCGGCGAGGTTGTGGCGAGGTTGCAGCGAGGTTGCGGCGAGGTCGCGGCGAGGGCGTCCTGCAGCGGTGGCGTTGGCGTTGGCGAGCAAGGAAGAGGTGGCGGCGAGGCGTCCTGCAGCGGTGGCGAGCAACCTCCCTTCTTCCCCAAATCTTTTCTTCTTCCCTAAATGCTCATTGTATCAAAACCCATACTTTTTTTCTCTGTTATTTTGGGAGCGATTTTGTTAAGGTTGGTGTAGTTGATTTTTCTGTGTTATTCTGATATTTGGTTCTGTATGTACTGAGATTTGGTTCTGTGAAAGGAAAAAAATTCAATAACCCTTTGCTATTCTGATATTTGGTTCTGGATATCTTTTGAGATTTGGTTCTGTGAAAGGGAAAAAAATTCAATAACCCTTTGCTTGCTTGGACTACGCAACGAAGAGGGAGAAGTGGATTGGTTTTAAAAAAAAAAACACGCAATTGCCTCGATTATGGAAGAACCGAGGCATCATCCTGTCTCTTTTTAACCCGGTTCAGAACCGAGGCATAAAGCCACCCTCTTTTACATCATCCGAATATGACTCGGTTGTAGAACCGAATCCTATAAACAAAATTAACCGATGCCATTTCCTTCTCCTGTACTAGTGTTTCTTTTATCAAGATTCTTTCTACCTCTTGACTACCTTCCTCCTCTCATGTTTACCTCTCTTTGTTCGTTGCCATTTTTTTAGCAGATTGTTCAGAGAAGTTTGTGTTTCTGCCTCCAGTTCGTTCACCTCTTGAACGTCCTCTGCCCCTTCCAGCTCCACGGCCCTTGAACTTTTGGTCATTTCTAGCTTGTAAGGCTTGATTTGTGCCTTGATTCAAGCCTTTTTCCGCATTCTTCCTTTCCATCAATCTCTGCAACTCTTCCACTCTCATAGTTTCAAGATCCTTGCATTCTTCTATGGCGACGAACTATATGGTCATATTAAGGAGTTACCGTTCTGAGAATCTTCTCAACAATTTTCCTGTCTTTCACGATTTTGTCATAGGCTCTCATTGCATTCACCACAACTTGGATTCTTCGAATGTACTCCACAATTGTTTCTTGCTCCCCCATGCACAGAAGTTCATACTACCTTTATAAATATTGCAACCTGATCTTCTTCACATTTCCAGAGTTTCCATAGCCTTCTTGCAGAATGTCCCAAACCTCCTTTGCCGTTACAGCCTTTGAAACTTTCTGGAAGATAGCAGCAGATATACACTGATGCAACAACATTCTCGCTTTGTAGTCTAGCCTCATGTTGTCCTTGTACAATTTCTTCATCTTTTCTGAATCACTCTTTGAAGGTTCTTTGAAACCTTTTTTTAAAATCTTATATCCACTTCTTGGAAGCCAAGAATTGCATTCATCTTGACGCACCAATCATCATATCCTTTGTCATCAAACACTAGCAGATTGTTGTGGACCATTCCAGCCATTACTTCTCTCGAGACTTTCCTCTTCTTGATGTGTTTTCTTGAGCTTCACCACTCTTCACCAGGTTTTCGTAACCTGACTCTAATACACTGTTAGTTCACGCTATTTGGAATTATGCAGCAAAGGCAAAAGGATAATGTAGAGAGAGTGGTACAGAGATAGAGAAACTTAGAGGAATCTCATTAATTGTTGAATGAAGATGCACAAGTATATATGTAATCAGAAAAAACTGATTATGACAAGTATATACAGTCAAGAGGTCTAACTGTCATACATTATAGCAGTTTGGATTATAACAACAATTACCACGACTGAGTGCAGGCGTGTATAGCACAATATTGGGCTCGACAAATTGCGCAACGACAAAGGCGAAAAAATAAAAACTTCATCAAATGTCTTTTATGAAAGAAACAACATATAAGTACTTACTATCCACGGGAACATGTGATTTGATTCCTATCCATGAATTAGTGCTGTGCATAATTAATCTATTTTATATTATATTAACTACACTACTTTTATTAAAAACTAAATTATACTATTTTCTAATTCACTTTTTTAAACTAAACGTTTGCATTTGCAGTTCAGTTAACTGCAGTTCAGTAACATGAAATCAGTGTTTTAAAATTAGGATTGAATTGGATCAGAAACTGAATTTGTATTACATCTCTCCTATTTAATAAAGGAAAATGACACTTGAACAACCATTTTTGACAACATTTAGACTCGCTCACATGTTTCAAAATCTGAGTGGTCCAGTTGGAAAAATTAAATGAAAATGGACCACTCAGATTTTGACACATGTGCGCGTGTCTAAATGTTGTCAAAAATGGTTGTTCAAGTATCATTTTCCTTTAATAAATAGTCCTTCATTTGGCATTTTTGCCAGTGTTTTTTATATTTGTAATTATCATTCAAATTTATTTCCATTTTAAATTATTCTTATTGTTTTTTGAAAAAATTTATGCTCATCCACTTTACTATGCCATACACCCTTCCTCTATCACTCCCCCACTCACCCCTTCTAAATATAAATGAATGCAAAAATCATCTCCCCCTCAGTACATAAATCAATGGTACTTTTCAAAAGTTAAAGTAATACGAAGGGTATTATTAAAAATATAAATGATAGTTTAATATATACAAATTTTTTATATTTATTTAATATTATATTTTTTATTTTATTTTTAAAAAATACGTCACTCTATCGTTACTCTATTAAAAATCCATGTTATTCTAACTTTGGTATTAAATAAAAAGTAAAAAATTTAAATATTACTTATAAACAATTTGCAGATATATATGTTTGGAAAACGTCAACAACACTACTTCTTTATATCAGAACAACAACAAATGAGAAGGAGCCACAGGCAATTAACCATATATTCATCTTTATTTATTTATTTCTCGTAGAACGACACCAACACTCTCTTTCTTCTCCTAAAATCTGATTCACATCATCAACTGTGTTACAAAGAAACCTACTCTTCAAACCACCAACTCTCATCCTCTGCAGAAACTGATTTTCTTATATAAGCTCAGTGCAACACAATCTGTAAATCTTCTTATATTCTCAGTATATACTCACCATACCTTTGAGCTCGCATATCTCTCTTCCTTCCTTTTTCATTATTTAACTTTTTCAACTTTTCTTAATGACAAGGCTTTGAGAACGCTAGTCCTAAAGCTATCAACTCCATCTCAGTCTCATCCTCTGCAGAAACTCATTTTCTTAGATCAGCTCAGAGCAACGCAATATGTAAGTCTTCTTCTATTCTCAACACACTTTTGAGTTCTCAGTTCTCAGATCTCTCTTCCTTCCCTTTTCATTATTTAAACATTTTCTTCATTACAAGGGTTCTGGAAATATTTCACCAAAATCCACAACTTTTTCTCCAGATAACCCTATAAAAGACTCCAACGCATTAAGTGAGAACTGTCAAATTCATACAAGGTAACGTCAATATGATATAAACCTTTATATATATAGATGGATAATTTAAATTGTGATTAGTATTTCTTTCATATTTCTATTTATTTTTATTAGTTATGTTCATTAAGCTTTTCTTAATTTAAATTGTGATTAGTATTAATATTTATTTTTGTGCTCATCTTTTTGTTTAAGAATAAATATTGGAAGAGGAAGAAAAAGAAAAGCATTGAATGTTTAAAATTGTTATATTTGTGTGCTCTTGTTATTTGTTCGTGATGCATCCTTTGATACTCTCTGAAATATAAATATGTCGTTGAAATTATAAATAAATTATTTAAATTTTATACGTAAGAAAACACATTATGATAAAAAAAGTCTATACAACTATTAATAAAAAAAAATAAGTATGGTTGAATATAGTGAAAACTATGTATAAGATTAACAGTACTTATGTTGAATATACACATAGAGGAGTACTTTATTTATAATAGAAGAAATATGAAAAACATAAATGTCCACTATAGGCTACTTTGATATCATATTAGAAGGTGAGTTTAAGTCTAAATCAACCTCATAAAACCAGCTTGTAAGGTGAGATTTGCACTTCACTTATATATTATAATTTGACTTTATCTCTAATCGATGTGAACTTTCAACACATCCCTTCATACTGAGATAAAACCAATTCATAGTTTATAAGTAGGTGCAAACCACCTATAAACCAGTTTTATAGGATTGAACTAGGTTTTAAATTCACTTTCTAATATTTATCATGATATTAACGAAAGAAAGTGGAGGAAATTTAAAGGATAATATATGCCCTAGTATTTTGTTGATAGCATTTTTTATAAAACATATTTGTGGAAACAAGTCTGAATCAGACCTAGATCTAATCATAATCATAATAAATAGAGATGGTGAATGCTGACAACCACTGTACAGATTAAATAATTGAGTCTGACAGCTGTTTTCAAATAATAGTGGTTAGGAAGAATAAAATATTAGAACATAATATACCATCAAGACCAAAGTTAATAATAATTAAGAATTTACATAAACAAAGTTGGACCTGTTCTCTCTTTCTCAGAAGCCACATAATTGTAAGCCTCTGGTTGCTTCAACAAAGTTGGACCTGTTCTTCAATTTATTTTAACGGATTTACAAATAAGTAAAACCACATATTTAAAAGAAAGGGTTAGATTTTCATTTTCACAAAATAAAAAAAGTTGTGTGGACGAATTTTGTAATTACCGTATGATTTTTTTTAATTCCTTTTACATTTTACAGTTGTATGAGATGCAGGAGATTCATTTGTTATAAAATAAAAATAATAATTATTTT